AGACTAACCGTGGGAGGTCTTCGTGGTTTATTACTCCATGTACTGCAAATGAGGCTTGTTCCATCAAAAAGTCCTCTACGGAGGCAAATTTCTCCCAGTACTTGATACAGGAGATCTTTAGGATTGGGTTCAAAATCACAAGGCTACGGAGTTGAACATTAGTAGCCGTTAACCCAAAAAATTGGGTCCGTTGTTCAACGATGGTTATAAAATAAAATAATTTAAGTAAACAGAATAATTTTACTATTATTTGATTTGAAATTCATTTTGAGCAAATGAAATCTGAATTTCTTTGATTTGAAATTCATTTATTTATACTCATTGATATGCGTCACAATGTTGCTCAATTTTCTCACTTAACGCATTTAGGTAAATCTGGTTTTTTATCCTCCACGGCAGTATATTCCAACTTCTTACTGAAACGGAGGTGAGGAAATTTAGAAGTTCTTGAAAAAATATGAAAAATTGCAGCAGCTTTAGAGATTATTTATTCGCATTTATATTGACAATTTGAAAACTGGAAAAAAAATTGTAAGAATATCTAAACAGTAAAATCAAACTCTCTTCTCTTATTAAAATACTTACAAGATAATTCAAGATATCGATATTTTTAATAAGTACGTCACTGTGAATGACCGAAATGGGTGGTTGTTGACTTCCACCGGTGAATGTCAACAATCACATAGTCACTTTGGTAAATGTCCGAAATGTATACTAGTTAAGTGCCACTGCCCGGTATGCCCTACATCAATGCTTTTATTTAAGATCCAGTTCCACTGCCTAGTATGCAGTACTCCGAACACTGATGTTTATCCTAATCTATCCTCAGCATATAATTAAATATCAAATTAATATCGAATCGGATATAACAAATATTTCGGACATTCACCAAAGTCACTATGTGATTGTTGACATTCACCACAGAAAGTTGATATCCTCATGATTTCGATCGTTTTCGGTGACATATATATAGGTGGTTATTAAGACTATAATTATCGAAATGATATTTTTGCTCTCTATGATAGTGATTTCTTTTTACGGCAATTAACTGTTACATAAATACCCTTTCTAAAAATGTTTTTAAATTCTTTTTTTTTTTGTGGTGAGTGTCAATTACAGTACAGATAATAGCGTATATAAGATTGCCTAGGAAAATAATTATATTTCGAGTCACAAATTTCAAGTTGCATGACAACAAAATACACCATTTCTGAAACAAAGTCGATAGAGTGAAGTAAAAAAATGAAAAGGAACAAGAGAAATTATTTAGAAGTGGTCCGTAAGTACTGGAACCTTAAACTAATAAAAGAATTTCAAAGCGCAGTTTATTAGTTTTATTTTATAACCGTCGTTGAACAGCTGACCCAATTTTTTGGGTTTATGACTCTACAACTACAGTAACTATCTGCTGTGTTGGTGACCATTTCAGATTTTTCACGACGCTTACAAGAAAGCTTTATTTCAGCAGCTGAACAATTTTTTCATTCCATTTGATTTGTGAATAAAACATCATAGTATGGTGTGTCTACGGTAAGAACTCCCCCCGACCACAAAGCTATGGAAACAAAAATAGAGCATTTCGGGGTTTTCTTCACTCTAGAGGCTAACACAGTAGGCCGAAGAAAAATATTACCCTTCACTCGCTGACCCAAGCCAAAACCTGCCTTTGAACAATGACCCCACACGCCTACTTGAAATAGTTATACCTCGTCACCATAGTCACCGCCACGGGAACAGACGAATGGGTTCTTTTACTTTAGACATCCTAGATCCTGCTGATAAACGATTGAGTGTAAAGAGTTCGCTCAAGTAGCGATGCTCGAGTTCCGAGAAGTGGAAATAAACAGGCGCCAAGCTATACGTAAATATTATTCATTGAGACATATTTTTAAAGTGACACAAAATCGTTGGGCTCCTGAATAAAAAGTTAGGGAAAATCTCGCAAAGTAAATTCGTAAAAATTTTTCTTAGTAATTACAATTGGTCCGTTAAATAGGTTCAGGGAAAAAGTCTTTACCCATGAAATAGTTAAAGGGGATAATTGCTAAAATGCAAATTAATGCATACTTGAACTAAAAATAGATTGAAAGACAAGATGTGCATTTTTAAATGTGAGAAAGAGCGTTCGCTTCAAAATGTAGAGAAAACGTGGAAAATTGCAGAACAATGAAAAAAGGGAAAAAGAAAAATAATAATAAAAATTTAAAAAAAAAAAATCCGGAAACAAATTTTTTTCGAAAAAAGGAAAACAAGTTTATAAAATCCGGAAAATAAAGGATATGATCTTTTCATCAGCTCACACGATTAATATCCACAAAAAGAAGTGCTTTCTAATATTGTATACATATAGCCAAAGCAAAATATATCAATACGATAGTGTGAGGAGCACTCAAAAAAATTTTACACAAAATTTACAACAATAAAAATAAAAACACAAAGTAGTAGTAAAAATATCACGTAAAAACAGAAAATAAAATATAAAGAAGAAACAGAACAAAGCATAAAACGAAATCTATAAAGCAGGTAATGAATTCAAATGAACTTACATGAACAGGAAATTTTTCGAAAAGTATTTAAAATATTTTCGTAACAAGATTGCCAGATAACAAAATATGAAAACAAAAGCGCAAATTGAGGTAAAAGCGTAAATAGAGGGATTTTGCTTTATAGTGCGCTCTTACTGCAGTACTGAAGTGCGTTTGATTTGTTAGTTACCAAGGATGGGAGCGAAAATTGAAGTGCGTAAGGTAATATTATACTGAATAATTTAAAAAGCTTTGCGTATTTGCCGGTCGAGGGAAAAAATTAAACTTTAAAATTACTCCATACCTTAAATTTATTCACACCTATTTTGATTAAAGCATATTTATTTATTTATTTATCACAAATTACTTTACGCTATTTGCACATAAAAAATAAAACTTCGTTAAATATTTGAATAATTTTGAATTTAATTGATTAAACATGCCACTCTTTGATTTACCTGTCGTCAGCATACTAAAAAATGCTTACAAAATACATTCAGCAACAAAACAAAAAAATATATTTGCGTAAATTATTTTAATTTACAATAAAACTGTTTATTTTTATCTAACAGCATTAGCTCATATAAATAATTACCGATACATTAAATGATCGAGGCAAAACTATT